GGGGGCGTTCGTCTGGAAACTGGACGAGTCATGATGTAGATTTAATAAATGCGTTTCAGGATCACATAAATCTTTCGGTTCGCTATCATGAATTCTTTGGAAATCACAACGGCTTTGCGAGGGAAAACTGCATGTTTGTTGAGTTTCAATGTTGTTTTCGCTGCTAGAGTTCACTTTGTTTTTATTTCTATGGCATTTTTCTTCAGTAATTATTGCCTGTGTTCGTCGCTCGTCTAAAATTTCGTGGAACTTTGCTTGCTCGGCCAATCTATCATCTCCCAAAGGTCCCGGTAAATCGTAATCCACAAAACTTGGTACCGGGACCTCGTCGCGCATTTCAGCAGCCGAATGGATGTCTGTTCTGGAGCCAGGTTGCATAAAATGTTTTTCTTCGATGGACATGTTACCGAAATAAATCATGTTAGACAGACTGTCGTAGCTTCCGATGTGCTGTTGTTGCCATGGTCGAGTTTCCTGACGAAAGCCTGCTTGCTTAGAATCGACGAAACGTGCAATTTTTCCTCGTGGCGATTCCAGTGGGAAACACGGAACGGAATTTGAGGAAGTATTTTCGTCACAGTTAGTATCAAATTCAATCCCGCAGCTTAACGATCCTTGAAGAGCTTGCAAGGAGTCATCATAATCAGGAGTGTCGTGTGTCTTTGAAGTAGGAATCGACCGGTCGTTGTTCAAAGTATGATCCATTACGAAGGTTAGGAAATTTAACCCCACAATAATTCACGATGAACACCAAAGCGCTGGGTAAATAGCCCGGAATTTGCTTCAAACTTTGTTAAAAAGCATAAAATTCACCATTGCCAATTGAAAATAACGAACACAAACTGTCCACCTTAACTGTAAAATAAAAGAAACCTAAAAGGTCATGAAACATATTCGTCTAAAAAATTAGACACAGCAATAATTGATCGCTGGGCAGCGGTCCCAAACTTCCCTAGAATGAACAAAAAATGCAGGTTGATTATCAATGAGCACTTTGCCACATTTACGTGATCTATATTAAAGATTGGTGATGATTGAGTGTTCTCTAGAGTATTTCAGTTATGTAATTCACAGGCATTCTCTCAAAAAACAATACCTTCAATAATTCTCTTATGAAAAATATTAATTTTTGCTCGTTAAAGGCCATCCCTCAAATAGTTTATGAGTCGAGTCACATTTTAACTTTAACAATCTAAAATAATATATTTCTGGCGCAATACCCCTGGTCAGCTGACTTATATCATTTTAATCTAATTATGAGTCATGTCCTGCATCTTGTTTTATCAGCGAGCTTGCAATATCTCAACGCATCGGCCGTGGACATTCCGCAAGCTTGCATTTTAGGCATTGATAAAAGCTGCATGTATTTCTATGATACGTGTGATTTAATTGTATGGCAAGAACAATGAATATTAAATTCCTTGTACAGTCTTGACCAAATCCGAGGTCATATGCTGAGCACGATTTTACGCCTAATTTTACATTAAATGTTTCCAATAATCACTGAAAATACTAACATACACGTTCAGATACTACTAGCTAATATTGAAAAAAATACTTAGTGTGATGAAAATGCTATATCTCAACATAAAAATCCCATAGTGGCGACCAAGAGCACAACCCACGTCTCGCAATATATAGCGATAACTGAAGCACACATTCACTGCATAGGTCTGTATTGCAGCACACAGAGCGACTGATGATCTCTGGCGCGCCTGACCAGCATTGATTAATAAATAACCTGGAGCTGCACTATCGCAAACTATCATGCTTGTTAGTAAAGAGCATCAAGCTTTCTTATGGTGAGCGCGATAATGCTTACAATCGTGAAGGTGATTAATACACGACGTATTACAAATACTTGATAGATGTTTATTTAGCAAATTCTCGCTTACACGAGAACTCAAACGCGTGTGGTTGTCATGACAACCCCACAACACAGCACGTATTGTTGCTATGACGTCATCGGTTCTCATTACTATTAATGTTAACTCTTGCTAAATATCGTTAGTTCCTATCATTTCTGCCATTCAAAAACATGGAACGCGATGATCTTAAATAACGGCTGTGGAGAGTTGAGAAAATTAAAATGAAATCGTAGGAGTCAACGGCGATAGTTGAATTAAAGTTTAGCGTGATTGCTTTATTACAAGCAATCACTTTAGATCGGTTGATAGATATTCAACAACGTAGATGTTCGAAGAATACGAGGAATCACAGCTTTTCACCGATCAATGTTTCTGAGACAGACGTTGTGCACTATGAAATATAAACTAATTATCTAGTTTTTCTCTAAAAACAATCATAATATAACTTTTTATATTTTTCAATGAACAGATGGGGAGATTCTATTTATTATTTAATTACCTAAATGAAATTGGCCACACTACGTAAAAAGTATCAAGTATCGTTGGTTGACTATTCACGGATTTATTTTTCAACGCCATAAAATGTAGGCCCACAAAATATAATACTTCGTTTAATCTTCACACGGGTGACATAAAAAACCATTTGATTGTAAATTTCCTTTTATTCGTACACAATAATTTATACCAGTAAACAGCAAAAAACATATTTTTTATTGAGAAACGTTAGCAGGTAATAAATGAGATGGGAAGAAATAACACATGAAGTCCAACAAATTTTTGTATTGCGGAAATAGGTGGCATCATTGCAGAACAATGTTATTGCTTGCGAATATAAAACATTTATTTGGTACATAAAAAATGTTTGCAAAAACTACAAAACACTTTAAGAGTTCTCAATGAACCATCCGCACTTTCTTACAATAACCGAAATTTTTCTCAACCATATGCCACTTTAACAAAATTTCATAATAGAAATCAAAATTAGAGGTCTGAACACGCTCATTACGACTTATATTAGCTATTCATGGTCTCGCGGGGACAATTAAATAATACAATGCTTGAGAATGGAGGGTTTGCGCATATGACTAGAACAGACTAGATAAGCTATGGAAAACTATATGTTCAGATTTGAAATGCCAAGCTCCTTATCGAACCCGGTGGAAGTCTAGTAGCTACTTCAAACTATCGTCAGTCATGAAAAGATCCGGTCAAATGACACGATTTTAGATCTTCTGTGAACAAGGCACGAAAAAAAGAAAAAGAATCGGCGACAGGCCACATCAGGCCTACGCTTCAGCGCCGACATCACTATGTTATGTTATGACTGGTGGGAATATATGGGGCCCATGCGCCACGTAGCAAGGAGGCATAGAATAGAATAGAAGTGTCGGCACTGAAGAAATAAGTACATGGCCTGTTGCAGATTCTTGAACTTTTCATGACTTGATTCACAAGAGATCCGGCCTTTGGAACCCGTTTACATAACTGACGATTGATTGAGATAGCTGCTGGACTTATTGCCTGGTTCGTTAAGTTGCTAGGCATTTTAAGACTGAACATATGCTCCTGCATAGCTTCGTCTAGTCTGTTCTTGAAGGCGTTCATACTCTGAGCGTCAAAGATGCTATCAGGGAGGCTGTTCCACATGTCGGTGACTCGAAGTTAGAAGAAATGTTGTCGCATGGATGTGTTACAACGCAGATTTATAGCTTATAGCCGTGGCCCCTGGTGTTGGTTCTTGTTTCGAATTCTAGTAATCATTCTGGGAACTTGTATAAGCCATGAGTATTCTTGTATGCTTAAATGAGGTCCCCACGCAGACTTCGATAACTGAGGCTTGGAAGCTTCATAATCTTCCCTCAAAGGCCTTGCCTTTCAAGCCCGGAATCTTGTTGCACGTCTTCGAACACACTTAATTAAATTTTGTCCTTTTCAAACTTTGATGACCACACGACGTTTCCAAACTCTTAGGTTTGGGCGCACGACAGCAACAAACAACTGCTTCATCGCTTCTGCATCTAGGTACTCGAGATAATACATTGGTTTAAGCATGGCTAGAGAATTCCAAATTATTTTTAATAATCCGGCCATGTAATGGAATTAGAACGAAACCCCAGGGACGAGGGAATATTTCTGAACAAATCCACCAGAAATTCATGTGTACGCTCACAATAAACATAAAAAACAGTAGGTAACAATAATAAAATAAACAGCATCGGAAATCGCTGCTCTGTTATAATTCGAGCATGGTTGTTTTAACCGAGAGTTCCATTTCCGAGTACGGTACCATACCTATATAGTTTTCAAGAGTAAATTGAAGACACAGATCAACTTTGAGAACTTTATGAATATCACTAGGATTCAAGAAAATTTTAAAGTAATTCTGCATATTCCACCTCTATTATTTTCTTTTGACTAGAATTAGGCGCCACTTGTCCATCAATTTTATATTCATTTAAATATATCTAAAAAAATACTTTAAAAAAAAATTTATAAATACTTTTTTACGTGGACTAAAAAGTAGAAAATAAATATGGCTCGCCCCAAAAAAACGTGTGTCGGGCAGATTAATGATTAAAGCGTAAAGCACACAACACACGAATTTTGGGAATTTGATGGTGAACGTACAGCCCGACCCACGTCTATTGGCAGATTTATGATTAAAGCGAAAAGCAAACACACGAATTTTGGAAATTTGATGGTGAACGTAAAGCCCGACCCACGTTTTTTGGGGCGAGCCATAATTCATTTCTACTTTTTAGTCCACAAGAAAAACTTTTTTTTTTTAAAGTTTTTTCTTAAGTATTTTATTTTCTCCTTTTTAGTCCGTTGCTACACATGAAACGTTAAGTACACATGAAACGTTAAGTATAACTTGACGTACGTATCGATGATACGCAGCGTCAGCGCCTGCTCGTCTATAACGTCAGCGCCAACATGTTATACTATATATACTTATACTATATATATACTTTACTCAATTAAGCTAATTTAGGTCTCTAATTGCTCGTTTTTATGATTGTATCTGAAATTGTTAGGCGAAAATAGCCTGCATGCCGAATTTCAAATCTCTAGAGCAATCAGAAGTGGGCTAATTTTCGTTGTCAATGTTAACAACAAACAAATCCACAAACAAACAAACTCGAAGATGAGTTAAGAAAAACGTGTTAATAAATAACATCACTGAACATTGAATGTAAAACTGTTTTTCATTTAATGTTTGATGAATTGGATCATCAAAAAATATTTTTATGTACCTTTCTTACTCAAGTGTTTCTGGTGGCAGCAGATAGTACAATTTCTTATTTTTAATTAATCAGGACAAGAGACTTGATGTTTCAAGGGAATGATTAATGATTTCTCAGAGGTGCAGTGTTCCAGAGACCCATGCTACTTATGTTAATATTGGCATTTATTTTATAGAGCTATATATGATAGAAAGCTATGTATGAATACCTTGAGAAACTTTGATAAGAATTACTCAAGAACAATCAGCTGGGACCTGCTATAGCAACATGGCCATAATCATCAGTCGTTTGTTCAACATAGAGCTGCAGGGAACATAGTTCACAGGACAAGTCTTTTAGAGGTACCACTTTAGGCACATTAATCATGTCATCAGTAGGCTCAGCAGCAATCCAGGCTCGTTCAGCACCATCTGAAACCTGGATGAGATGATAAGAGTGGATAAAATTAGTACATAGAAACAGCCAATGTATAACAAGTTATTGATTAAATCATATTGAAGGCAACGGCTAATGTTATAATTTAAATTCAGAAACAGAATTACAATGTATGAAATTTACCAACAATTCAAAAGCAAAATAACCTGTTTTGAGTGGAGAGATCCCAAGGATTCCATAGGTAACTGAAGAAGAATCTTATATGAACACCGAGGTGGAAGTGGCTTCAGCAAGTTGTCACTGACGCTCAGCTTGAGACAGAGGGCACGGAAACTTTCTTCCAATTGAGATAGTTCAACTTTCCTGTGTATCAAGAACAAATTTTCAGTTCAGTCCATAATTTAGGAACAAGATTAATGATAAACCATTTTAGAGAATTATGGATTTCATTTGCAATATCAGATTGTAACTAGAAATGAGAAACATCATTTGAATCAGGAATACAGTTAAAAATCAATAATTAAATACCTACAACTAATATATAATGCTTGATTCAATCATTTATTGATCACAATTGTTCCTTTGAAGAGTATCAACAACTAATATACTGTATTAATGAGCTACCCAACAACAATATCATGCCAGTCTAAACAAAAATTACATCAATGAAAATAAATTCAATTTATCTTCCCTCATAAGTCAATTCACATCTTATTAAACTTTTATATGTTTAACAAGAACCAACCGTAAGTCAGCTGGAATGATACTATTTTGTGACAGTCTGAAAACAAACTTTTCCAAAGCCCTGCCATTGTCAGGAGCTGTCACAACCAACTGAAGGGCTTTCAAAGAACCAGTTTGGAGCAGAGGCTTTGCTCCCTCCACAATGTCATGTATGTAAGCACAAACACCAGGATGGAGGCACATCTGATGAAAAAAGAAATAAATTAGCAAGATAATTACAAATTATTAAAGAAGTATAACAAAAGAACTATGACTGATACAAAACATAATACCATTCAAGGGATTCAAAGTTGAATTTAGAGGTGGGTATTGGGTAACTCACACTGTATAAATGTAATTTATCAATTAACTGTTTATATACGGTATGTGAATTATGGAAGAAGATATTATTACAGTACCAACATGCTAGCATTCTTTGTAAAATTAAACATGTATTGCCACTGCAACAAAGTCTTCACTCCAATGTGGATAATTCATGAAAATGACTGAGAGATTTTATAGACAAAACATTAGGATATAGGATAAACATTAGGAAAATTATAGGATATAGATATATACCATGCCTAACCTCGTCAGCTTCATTCATGGCCAATTAGAACATCAAACAGATCTTTCCAAAAAAAAGCAAAGGTAACAATTAACAACAACAACAATTGTTTCACAGGTGATTCTCAGAAATTGTAGGTAAAAATGTGTGTTTTTTGGCACTAAACAAATTGTGAAATTGTCTGCAGGACTGCAATTCTGGGCATTTTATGGGTCCTTTAGGCTTCACTCGTTTTGCCCATTTTATTAGCTCAGAGCCTCAGACCTCAGATTAACAAATGGCATCTGCAGGATTTCCTATTTTAGTTTAAAAAGTAGTAAAAATTTAACTTTAGCATGATAAGAATTAAGAATATTGATAATTTTCTACCAAATTTAGCTAATTTTTTATTATTCTCACTGAGAAAATTGCAATGTAACAGGAAGATACAAGCATAGAAAACATCTACCTTTAGGACCACAACTAGAGCTTTCTGGCCATTTCTGGAACTGCAAGATTTTTGCAAGATGAATTACCTCCTATCCAGATGAATTCACAATTGGGCTGCAAGATTTCAGTTGTATAAAAAATTTGTCAGATTGGAGACATAAGATTTCAGAAACAAGTAGGAAAATTCCAATCCTGCCGGGTGAAGATATAATATTAGTGTGAATACTGTGCGTCTGTATACTAGTGTATAGTGCATGCCTCTTGTGTTGATGCCTGCTGGCTGCTGGCCTGCTGCAGCCTGCATAGAACTCAGGTTGGAAATATTTCATAAATTCATATCATCATTACATCATATCAAGATCACCCACACTCAGTTACATGATTACATCAGTTGATCAGTAGATCACAAGGACAAGATGGACTGTCAGTGGTAACTACTAACTAAGTTACTGAATGTGAACGATAAATCCAAATTATCCAATATCCAACAAAGACCAACATCCATTTATTAACTGAGGCCACTTTTTTATGAGCTCGTTGCTTCCAATAATGCAATGGTATTGGTAGGAATAGGGTTGGAATAATTATACTTATTACAAAAATATAGCAGCTCCAAAATCACTTTTCAGTCAAATTTATTGTGCTGTAACTGCAAGCCTGAAGCCTGCTGAGTGCTGCAGCTAGTCTGGAAAAGTCCTATTTTTGTCTGAAATATCGCGGCTCTAATATCATATAATTTCAGTAGGTATGAAATCTCGCGGCTCGAATGTCATAATAGTGCTGCAGGCATAAAACCTTGCAGGCTTGAGGCTTGCAGGTGCAGCTCATTACTGCTCATAGCCTCATACATGGAGAAGTAGAACAGAATATACAATTTAATAGATTGATTTTTGGAAGATAAATAACTTCTTATGTAAAAATTGGTCCTAAATAAAATTTATAATGCAGAAAATGTTCAACCACCTGAACAGGAATGTTGTATTTTCTTTTTTGCTGAAATGCATTGCGTGGGTAAAGTTCTCTTGTATACAAGATCTGATGGACAATAACTTCAAGCAACTCGGATATTAGACTGCTAGAAATGCTGTAATCTAATTCTTTCATTTTCACCAAAATTCGTATCTAATAAGAGATTATGGTTCTGAATTTCAAATAGCTAAAATGTATACCCTGCTGTGATTTGCTGAGTATTCGGCACCTCTTGGTCTGGTGAAGGGGCTTGTCCGTTTTTGGAGGTTGTAGATCTCAGAAGCTTGTAAGCATATCATTGATGATTGACCCGTATACGTCATGGTTGAAGTTGAACTATATAAGGTTGACCCACAAGAAGTTCAGTCTTGCAGTACAGCTTTATTGTTTCGTCAAGTAGATGGAGAAACGTAAACAAATCCGTCATTCCCATTTCCCATGTCGGATTAGTTGCCTGGTTTGAACGCATTTCGGTGATTAGTCAATGCCCGTGACGTCACATACGAACAAAAAGCTCCAGCCGTGAAAAATGGGTATCGTCAGCATTAGTTCAATTTCTCAACTCCCGAAGGAAATTCTACAGTGAACTTGAAGTTCTTCTGTTGAGAATTTCTCGCCGTGCGCTGAAACGTAAAGGTTTTTACAGTCCTTAGGACGATTACATGTATTTGCAAGCTGTTGTAGATTTTTACGATAAGCTCCACACATTAGAAGTTAGGACATTTAATCTAATGTTATGGAGAGTGACTAATAGCTATGACCTTGCTTACAGGATGAGACTATACCGTATACGGTGTGATAGAGCGGTGAGTATTTTGCATTTTAGTATCTGCATGCCTTCCTTGCGCAGTGTGTTCATTCGTTCTGTGAAGTACGCATGTGCTCCTTATAAACGAGCATTTGAGATGCTCCTTCAGTCCTTGAGCTTCGGTGACAATTTTGTTGAATAGGCAGCAATGCAACAATCATTATTTTCATAACAAAATCCGTCCAAGTATTCGCATCACGTGTGTGGCTAAAGAAAAATATATGTACCGAATAATTTTTTATTTAAATCTATATTGTAATTACATAGTTTCTGCATTAATTGGTACAGTAGATTTTACTCAATTTACCGGTTCCAAAAGTTGCATTTGATATTTATACGGCAGATTCAAATTTTCTGATTTTCTTCTCTAGAATTAATTTGAATTTCGTCGTATAAAACCTTTAGTTAAGCAATTTTAAATATTCACTTAACACTAAAACTATATTCATTGATATTAGATGAACACTATAGCATTTTTCCACATCCAAGTGACCGACCATATTTTCGTCAGCGCTGTTTGGGTGGTTCTGGTGACTGGCGAGTGGCTAGGAACTAACCTAATCCGTTTCGTTCGACACACACTGGTTTGTAGCTGGCGTCTAAAAATAACTATCGTCATGGATATGAGATGAACCCTATACAATTTTTGTAAGGGAGAGTGACCATATTTATATCAGCATCGTTTAGTGCTTCTTGTGGCTGCTCAAGAACTAACGAAACCCGTTTCGTTCTTGACACTCCTGCTTTGTATCTGCAGGCGACGACACATGACCTTGTGTTAGGACTGCCGCATGTGCACAGGCCACAGTGCACCCGCTAGAGGCTGATCAACACTTGTGGCCGTAGCAAGTGCGTTGCTCTGCAGCTCTTGGCCTAATTGGCTAGTTTCCAGTAACTTGGTGTTGTTAACTAAGGTGTTTAAGTGCTTAGTTTTTGGGCCGATATAGCGTTCATTTTTCGTGTGATAATGCCTCAAACGTTAGATTACTCAATCGAAACTGCAATACATTCATGTTTATATCATTGTTCATTACGCAGATGCGTAGCCTACTGTCAATGATTTAATAGATATGCAATTGAAGACATATCACAAGCATTTACACGCCTTTCATTGTAATTTCTAACCGCAATAAGGAGTTAAAAATGATTTGTGCCATTTGCAAATTAATTTTAGGCTAGTGATTTGGAATCGGTAGCGAGTTAAGTGCAGCGCCGTTAATGCTGCGATTTATGCGGCATTTTCGATGATCTTGCTAAATTCTGGTTCGAAGTGAAGGTTCGTGTCGATTTGGGTTTTCAGACGACCCTGGCAAGATTACATGGAAATTTTGTTTGGGATCTACAAACGAGGCCTATAATTAACGATATTAACTGGTACAGAGAAACCCCGCCTTACTGTGTTCCTGCTGTAACTTAGTTATAAAGCAACCCTATTATCCCCATCGAAGTTAACAGAAAAGACGCCGATCCGGATCGGTACTCACAAAAATTCACCTCTTTTCTTGCATATTGTAACTTCAAATAGGGTGAAAAATTATTATTTTAATTTTTATTTGCCTAATAGGAGGGCATCGTTCTGACCCAAGATTGGGGAGCTCGTGCTTTTACTTTGTTCGTACTCTTTGGCCAAGTCGACGACCGGCAAGCTGACCGCCGATGTATTGACGATGTCTAATTTATCATAGATAGATATCGACACTTTTTCTGCCGATCCACTGCATTTTTGCAGTTCCTGTGGTCGTGCAGCGGAGCACGATCGTATTGCGCAGTATATTTATTCCGATCTGACTGATCGTGGGGCGGTCTGTTCGTAAGGTGGGGTTTTACTCAACTAGGAGCCCAGCAGACACGTAAATCTATTATTGGTCTTAATTATAACTAGCACGAATTAGTGACGTCACTGTCGTGCTATAGCGAGATTAAACAACAAGGATGTTGCTAGCTCAGCGTTTACCACACAAGAGCAGCTGTCCGATTGCATGGACACCGCATACGATACGTCGATGTTCTCGTGTTTTATGATGAAAAAAGTACTTCTTGGAGAGTATTTAACTGCTTACTAAGGACATTGGCTCCTAACAGGTGACACTTTGAATTTCAGTGCGAAGATTTTAGTTGCCTTGGTTAAATATAATGATAATCAGATGCAATCATTGTAAATGTACATAATACCAGGTTAGGATAACATAACCTAATTCGAGTTCTTAGAAGATGTGCATTATGTGTGAGAATTCAGGTCATAAAAATCAAGCTCGCGAGCAAGTAAGCAAATATTATTGACCCATTATTGCCATAATGGGTTCTATTTTGGATTCCCAAACCGAATTCATTATTAATGCGATAAATCTTGAACAACATACACCTTTGGACAAGATCGACATCAAATGAATAACAGTATTTCAATGAGACTTCATGAAAGATGCTTGAGGCTGAACGCCACTAACCAAATGATCTTAAGCCACGTCGAGAGGTCAACGAACGAACTGGGATGTGTTGAACGATGCACCATAGCAAAAAGAATCTAGGGCACCGGGATTTAGTGCCGATGTGATTAATAAATACAAGTATGTAAGAGGGTGATTGAAGTCAACGTTGAGCTTACGTTTGGCCATATTCCCGCGCCTGGCTCTACGTGTATGGCGGTAATCCCGAGCATGGCTGTACACGTATGGCGGTAATCCAGCGCCTGACTGTACACGTATGGCGGTAATCCCGCGCCTGGCTGTACACGTATGGCGGTAATTCCGCGCCTGGCTGTACACGTATGGCGGTAATCTCGCGCCTGGCTGTACACGTATGGCGGTAATCCCGCGCCTGGCTGTACACGTATGGGGGTAATCCCACGCCTGGCTGTACACGTATGGCGGTAATCCTGCGCCGTGCTGTACACGTATGGTGGTAATCCCGCGCCTGACTGTACACGTCTGGGGGTAATCCCACGCCTGGCTGTACACGTATGGCGGTAATCTCGCACCTGGCTGTACACGTATGGGGGTTATCCCGTTGTGCTCTTATCAAAATAGAAGTAAACCTAGAAGGTATGCACCCTATACAAATGCATTAACGCTAACTCAGATAATTGGACACCTGCCAGCTTACGAAGTTACGCTAACTCGCACCAACGCTCGAGATTACGGAAACAGTTTGAATAAATGATTGGGATTGGCAGGTGAATTTATTATGTAAATGATTGGAGTATCTATCAACGTTACTTGAATGATACGTAGATGATTCTGGTAGATGTCTACAATCAGGAAATGTGTCGAATGAAATTTTATTGTAGGCCTGGCACCCCATAGTTTCGTGTGTGTAGATGGAGCTGGGGGAATTCATTTGTTATGTGGTTCTTCAGTTCCTTTTTTTGAAACTTTTATTGTGTACCGGTTTAACCACTTGCGCTCAACCATGCAGTCTGGGTAGGCGGAGAATAGACTGACGACTCCAAGATCACATTCAAGCATAGCAGAGTGACATCTGCAGTTAAAAAACTAGAAATTTACAATTGCATCGTAAATATCCTATTCTAAATTTAACTTTATAAAAAACTTCGATTTTTTACATACTTTTAAAAATTATTTTCTGTTGTTTTTGCGTGCGACGTATATTGTGGATGTTTCTTTTAATAATAATAATAATAGCGGTTTCAGCGTTTATTAGGCCGTAGGCTTGTCGCCGATTCTTAACATCGCAGAACATTAACAGCTTATTACGGTCTCGAAGTCGCAACTCACTGCTACAATTCTGCTATGCTTAACCGCCCGGCCTCCTCGCCGATTCTGACCAGAAACTGGCGCACAGAGCTGGGATCGAACCCGCGCCTCTCTGCGCCAATCTTGGTACCGGTACTCTGAACTTTAACCACTAGGCCACCCTGCCCAGTGTTATTTTTATTCTTATAGCAAGAGTATGTTTTCCTTTTTATATGTAGGCGTCATAGTAACAAGGGACTTGTTTCGAAGTAAAAATTGTCGAAGTAACAAGATATCCTACTTGTCGCTTCAATAGGATACAAACGAGTTGTTATCATCCTTCTTGTCGCTTCAATAGGATACAAACGAGTTGTTATCATCCTTCTTGTCGCTTCAATAGGATACAAACGAGTTGTTATAATCCTTCTTGTCGCTTCAATAGGATACAAACGAGTTGTTATAATCCTTCTTGTCGCTTCAATATATAGGATACCGAAACAAGTTGTTATCATCCTTCTTGTTGCTTCAATAGGATACAAACGAGTTGTTATCATTCCTCTTTTCGCTTCAATTGGATAGAAATATGTTGTTGATGTCATGTCTCCGCATTTATATAATTGTCCCAGCAATACCGTGGTAAATAATAAATTTTTTTATTTTAAAAATGCTGAAACGAATAGTAATACTGATTTAATAAAAAATTGCACAATGAAATAGCACATAACTGAATAAAAACTTCTGTTTAACATTGCAGGTTTTATAACGAGTTAACGAGCTATGAGAACCAGACTACAGAGTGTATTGCTGCGCCCGGTGCTGCGGCGTTGCATCGGCGGCCGCTGCATCAGCTCGTCTCTCGCTCTGCCCTCGGGAGCTGCTGGGTGAGAGCCTGTTTTATTCCCTTATTTATTCATTTATTCTTCATTTGTACAATTTTTCTTTTTTATTGAATGTTGGTAATTGATTATTCAGCAACCACCTTTAATGTTGGTAATTGATTATTTAGCAACCACCTTTACTATTGATAAGTTACGTGTGTGGTAAAGTTCTCAAAAATTGTTAATGGTTGGTACTGACTTGGCTGCCGGTACACTTGCAGCTGAGCAGCCATGTTACTAAGGTTAGAATTGTGTTCGTAAGTGTTGAAGTTGACCATTGTTTACTGTAAGCATTATTTTCAAACCCAATTGATTCTTCTGCAAAGAAGTCTTTTCGAAATGGGTTCATGTCTACTAGTAAATAAATGGATTCATGGGAACTAGTTACTGGGTCATGGTTACCGCTTAATTTATGGCGTTACCCATACTACGATGTCTGTTTGATTATAGATCAAAGTGAACGTTAGTTTGGTTGTCGGTGACGAGACATTAAAAGGACCGGAGATAATTAACAGTAATGCTGGGGGCCGTTATTCAACGACTTCCTTTGTCTCTGAAGTTTGATAGCGCACGATGCGGGATTGCTTATCAGAGATAGAGCCCTAATGATGATATCGGCACGTACCAAGCGCTTAACTAAAACATCTGCCGATATTTCCGTAGTAAATCCTGGGTCTGTTGGCACGTCTCATTTTTGGCTATGCTTCAATACTTGCTAAATTTTTGCAGTGAGTAAAATGAATGCTTCGTATTGTATCGTAGTCGTATTGTATGGGTCGCATTGTTGAAGTGCTACCGTAGCGACCCGTTTTCTAGCCCACTGTACGAGCAAAGAGCGTACGTAGCACCGATACGTTATTTTGCCGGGAAGAACTTTTACGATTTGAATTTTTAGTGTATTGCTGCGTGAATATTCTGCTGAAAAAATTATCGAGTCTATAAGGAAATAATAAACATATCAAGTATTAACTATCGCTTAGTAAACGACAGTCCTGAGAAAAGGAAGGCCACTACAGCTGTTGGCCAACTGATATCTGTCACGATCTGAACGAGTAGGTGATGTACTTATGATAACTGAGCGTGGACGAATAATTTCCTGAATCGATACCAATGAATTTACTTTCCCGTATTCCAGCCGGCAAAATTTCACTATTCACGCTGGCAAACCTGATTTATCATAACTCTTTTTATGTTAGCATTTCATTAACTGTAATCATGCAAGACTCTTAAATTCTAAGTCGTTCATGTTCAAGGATTCATGACCATTGTTTTGTGCAGAGCTTCCGAGGAGTTTATTGTGCGCTCACAGTTCCCGGACACGCCGCTGCCGACATGCGGGTTGACGCATGTCTTCCTCGATCAGTGCAGCCAGTTCTCCGACCGTCCTGCTGTCGTAAGCTCCATCCATGCACTGACAACATGACCTCATCTACAACTATTGTAATGAATATATCTGAAAATAATATGCATTTAAAAATTACCGTTTAAAGACAACACTTCGAAACAATCCAGGGTCTCTGTTGTTACTACCTACACATGTACAATGAATTTTTAATTTTTTTTTCAAATATCAAAAAAAAAAAATAATTGTTAAATTTGTTTTTTGTTATCTGAAAGAAATAATTTTCAAATTTATTTATTCTGTCAATTGGTTCATGCATTGTCTCCAACTTTAAGCAAGTGCGCAAAATTTCAGATCGATGGGTAAGGTAGAAATGTGTTAAATTTCGATTATAAGATTTGTAGCAGACAAACAAACAAACAACAAAAAGTGAAGCTAAAGAGAAGTGTTGTATTAATTAGATAACTCTGTTTGCGGTAATTGATAGTGAATATTCTTGTATTGATCGAGTTTATTGATCGGTACTCTTCGTTGTCCTGGCCAGTGAACGAATTTCAGGATATCGCCTATAACAAAAATAGAAGTGGTCTTGAAGTTGTGAGCACTAATGTTTAATTCCAACATCTTAATTATTCTTTGGAACTGCAGATTGACGGCATTACGCGACGCACGCTCACCTACGGACGCCTTATAGACAGCATTCATCGTTGGGGGGCCGTGGTACAGAAGCGTTGGGCCCCGGGGTCACCGCCCCCCACTGTGGGCATCTTCATGCACAACTGCCCCGACTACCCCGTCATTTTCTTTGGCACGACTCTGGTAGGGGCCGTCGTCACTACCCTCAACCCCAGCTACACTGCAGGTTCGAAGATCACTTCTGTTTCGGTATAAACTTCTGTAGGATCTGAGTTGATAATCGCGTTTGAAGACTGTATGATTCTTTGCTTAGCATCTATAGGTAAGAATAACAGAGTATTTTGTTTGAAATTTCGCGTAGAACTAAGCTCATTTCATTCGTATTTTTATGCAGAGGAGGTGGCACTGCAGCTCGAAGACAGCGGTGCCTGCCTGTTGGTAATCGGGTCAGAATTGGAGGACGTGGCGCTGAAGGCCTTCAAGCTGCTCACCGACCGCCAACTGCCGAGCCCCTCCCTGTTCGTGGTGGGGGCGTCCAGGTCTGGCCGCTCCGACCTAAGGACTCTTCTTGAAGACTCCACTGCACCCTTCGCCACTCACGTTGATGTAAATATCGAGCTGCAGTTCTTTCTTCTTGGTATTATGGTTACCCCGAGGGCTCAAGGAAAAGATCAACCTTAAATTTATTGCAGTTATTGCTGTTATTCTTTTGTCTTTTCATAGACGATGTTTCTTTTTGTATAAGTCTTCGCTTCTTGGTGAATTTCATCCAGCGTGTTGACACTGCACGCATACAAGTGATTCTTTAATTATATCAAGAGTTTAGTTGATCTATTTAGTACTTCGCTGTTGACACTTGCTTGTTTATTGACGACCGCGCTAAGGACACTAAAGATATTGATATTTTTATGGATACTCGAGCTCTTATAGATACTGCACTCAACTTGAGTGTACTCTTATATTCGTAGAGCGTTTTCCTTAATTTTTGAGTAGACATTTGACAAAAATTCAATATCGTAAAAAATCAAGTCACTTCATGTAAAATTAGTTTTATTGTGTTTGTTACCGGACGAAATTTAGAAAACTGAAGTTGACTTTATTAAAAGGTTTTTTTTTCTTTAGGTTGACCCAAGCAGCGTAGCGATGATGCCGTACTCCAGCGGCACGACCGGCCGACCTAAGGGCGTTTGTGTGACGCACGGCGCAGCCACAGCCTGCAGTGAAATGATTTCCAGCCCTGCCGTACACTGGACCGTAGACCCTGGTACTTGCTGGTAGATGCAGTAAATTATTTCCAGCCCTGCCGTCCACTGGACCGTAGACCCTGGTACTTGCTGGTAGATGCAGTGAAATGATTTCCAGCCCTGCCGTCCACTGGACCGTAGACCTTGGTACTTGCTGGTAGATGCAGTGAAATGATTTCCAGCCCTGCCGTCCACTGGACCGTAGACCCTGGTACTTGTTGATAGATGCAGTGAAATGATTTCCAGCCCCCCTGCTGTCAACTGGACCGTAGACCCTGGTACTTGCTGGTAGATGCAGTGAAGTGTGTAAGGTGATAATCTTACTGTCATTCGACCTTGGATATTTCTGCATTAATAACTTTTTTGTTGGAAGATACCGGTAATATCCTTGATTGTGATATATCCATGAAACCTTCCTTATCCATTGCCCTTTTCCTACTTACCCGGTAGCGACTCATGGCCTTGTGACGTCAGCTAAGAATAAGCCATATAAGGCGGTACCCAACCAGGAACTGCAGTCTTGAGGGAGATCAGTCGTGTGTAAGCCTTTACTCCTTTCCATGTTAAAAACTTGAAATGATAGTTAAGTCAACTAGAGTCGGGAGTAGAGAACGATAGGTGAGCCGATTATAGTAGTTTTTAAGCTCTAATGTATGAATCTTTATACCCAATAACTGTTAGCCGCATATAATCTTCAAATAATGCTCTATAAAACCGTAACGCTGAACCACATTAATCCTCGTATCACTACCACTTACCGAACCAACTTCAAGTCATACATATAAATATTAAGTTAGGGGTGCGACAGGAAACGCACCCTCCTGCAAATGATTTCCTGACTCGCGATCCACTGGACCGTCGACCCAGGTACTGGGGCCATCAAATTATCCTCTGAAATCTTTAAGAGCGAAGTATATTTTACGAGAGCTGTATGACATCTTTACTGGCACGAGCCTGCAGGAATGCATTTAAATACCGTAATACAAAATGAAGTTGTTGTTTTTCTGCCTCAAAATAGCAGTATCATCTATCAAGTACTTGTTATTCATTGATGCCAATAGAAATATGTATTGCAATGATGAACTGATTATTTAAAGAGTCTGACATTCGGGTCTCGGCAGACATGGCGGACAGGATGCTAGGACTGCTGCCTTTCTACCACATCTACGGGATCATGATCATCATGTTGCAGGGTCTGAAGATCTGCAGCACCATCGTTACGCTGCCTAAATTCCATCAGAATAGCTTCATAAGCGCCCTCCAGGAACACAAGGTAAGGCTCGTCTCACAAAGTTGTTCAGAATCCATGGCTAACTGCAAATTAGATGTTTATCCCTAAATCATTGTTTTAATGTTCAACGGGCTTGCTTTTACAGTTCATAACGATGCCTCTTTTTACTGACAATTCTCTGCGATGCTTCTTCAACTCTTCACAGTTTACAACGATATTCCTGCCTCGCTTTTAAATTTAAAACGATGGCTCCCTCACTTTGCAGTTCAATGCGATGTAAACTTCTATGAACAGTTCGCAACGCTGTCCTCCTCTCTTAACCGTTGACAACGCAGCTTCTCTCCTCTTACAGTTCACAACGATGCCTCTCTCTGCCTACAGTTCACAACGATACCCTTGGTTCCGCCTTTACTAAAATACATCAACGAGTGTGACGACGTGACGCGCGAGCACCTACAAAGCTGTCATACCGTCACCTGCGGCGCCGCTCCCTTGTCTAAATCTACTGCAGAGGAATTCAATCGAAAATGCGGAAGCTTTGTTCACGTTTGCGAAGGTAAGCCTCTGAGTGTTGCAATATCGTTCATATAATCCTTTGATGCGTGATTTTCCTGTGAGTAATAATGCAGAACGCAGAAAAATGTTCCTACTAGCTGAGGATGTATAATCTCGAATCACATTGGAAGAATAAGTAGTGTTAACTGTTAACTGGTTTCATATTTCCTAAAAATAAGTTTGAAAGACTGAGAGCAATTTTCGTTGCAGGGTACGGCATGACGGAGACCTTGATAACGCACACAACCCCAAAAGAAGGCAGCAAATTAGGTTACTGTGGCAAACTACTGCCACACGTGCAAGCCAAAATTGCTGATATCGATACTGGAGCTGCTCTTCCTCCCCATGAAAAAGGGGAAATTTGGATGAAAACCCCATGTGTGAGTCAAACCTCTGTCACTAAAAAACTAATAAAAATGCGCCTTAGGTTAAACGCACTATTTGCACTAATTGTATGAACCGTACAAATGATGCGCTCAACAGATTTATTGGGATTTCATGAGGTCTGAAAATCAGAATTTTCAACGGCGTAAGATTATGAATGAATCTTTTTCCTTGATCAGAGTAATGCAAGAGTATTTACAAATTTTACTCGCATGATCGTTTAATTTTGAAACAAATGAAGGTTCAGTCATTTAATTATGCATTGAATATAAGCTCTAACATTTGTTAATGCTTATAGGCGTTCTTAATTCGAAAACTTTACTTCTGTCAATAAAATTGTAAACAAAAGAGGGCACATTAAATAATATAATAATATAGCGGTTTCAGCGTTTATTTGGTCGTAGGCCTGTCGCTGATTCTTAACACTGCAGAACATCCACAGCATGTTGCTGGCTTGAGCTCGCAACTCACTGCTTTAAATTTCCTTTGCTTAACCGCCTGGCCTCTTGGCCGGTTCTGACCAGAAACTGGAACACAGAGCTGGGATCGAACCCTCACCTCTCTGCTCCAATCTTGGTACTCAGAACTTTAACCACTGGGCCACCCTGCCCATATACCTGAAATGATCCACCAGATGATGGCTAGATATCACAACCGTCCTGATGCGACTCGTGACACCATCGACGAAGATGGCTGGCTGCACACCGGTGACGTGGCAGTCTATGACGAGGACGGCTACTTCTCCATCGTCGATAGAATTAAAGAACTCATTAAAGTGAAAGGCTTCCAGGTGAGTGGCGGCGTAGTTTGTTCATTGTTGACAGAATCTGGGGCTCGTTGGCTGGAAGATCTTCATGCTAATAAATGTATCGGTGTATCTTAACAGTCGGTAAAGAGGTTGGAAGTCATATGTATATTATTTAGAATTAATCAGATAAATTCATCTATGATAAGTTATCACATTAGAATAATCGATTTGACTTACAAATTAAACGAATGCCCAATTTATCGATCGTGCTAACTTTCGGAGCACTTTTTGATTGCGTAGTTTTTAATAAAGGCACAATATGTTTAAAAAAAATCATGCCCAAACAACAATGAAATTCACAATTTATTTGATATTTCAGGTATCTCCTTCTGAGCTGGAAGACGTGTTGCTGAAACACCCTGCCATAGCTGACGCAGGAGTGATAGGAATTCCTCACGAGAACCATGGCGAGGTTCCCCGGGCTTATATCGTCAAAAGCAAGAAAGCTTCTGTAACAGAGAAAGAAATAAACGAATATATGAAGGGACTCCTGGCTCCATACAAACAGCTGCTCGGAGGAATCAAGTTCGTGACAGACTTGCCCAAGAACCCAACCGGCAAGTTACTGCGCAGGGTGCTTGCTGAAACTGCAGCCAAGGAAGCTTAGCCGACGTTAGTGTTCTTGTTTGCATTGAAATCTCAGGCATATTATCACAAATACCTTGATCTTGTTACTATTGAAATCCAAAGCAAATTATCCGAAGTAAATTATGCATATCTATTTTGAATTCTCATAAATATTTTCCAAATTACATCGTTTTTCTCAACGTTTTACTTTCACGTGTACTATCAAAAGCACCTTGCTCTTATTTCCGTTGAAATTCCATGAAAATTATCCAAATTACCTTCGAACAAAGTGATAATTGATAGCAATGATCAATTCAAGCAATAACTCTTATATTATTATTTTTTTTTTGCTACTGGTGAACTTGTCTTCAACTGAAACCAGATAGAGGAGGCGGTAACTTTCGATACATTATTGGGGGTATTCGTTTGGGCTCGATCTCAATGGTGTGCTCACGGTTACTACGCCACATATCACCAAATCTCACGTACTGATTTGATGGCGAAAATTCTACGTTGTTGCAGCGATGGCTCCTCCCGTGCATGACAGCTGATCGATGGAATAAAAATATTTCTATCTATTTAGAATATTTAGCAAAATAAAAAGACTGATTTTCACTCTAGTAATCTCATTACGTTTCTTATTTTTTATGCAAAAACTGTTACCTGTATCGAAATTAAAAACAGCCCTGCCATACATTCTGTGCATTTTACTTATCTCTCGGTTGATAAAATGTCTAGATAACCCATTACTCAAGCATTAACGCATGACAGTTTACTGGAATAAGTCTTTTGGAGGAACGCTGACAACGTTTAACAAGGATATGCCGATGGACAGATCCGTGAATGCAAGTCATGAGATGCGTTTGTACGGCGCTTTAGAGTTTATACTGGTACACCAAAATGACTAAATTTGTAATATTTCTAAATAATGACACGCCTCCTTACAAACAGCACATCCAGCGAGCGGACGTAGCTGTAATACGACATTACCACGACGCCAAGCTGCATGGAGCAAGAAGTCTCGCTCAAGGGCAAAAAATGCATCGCTATTTGGATGATAATTCACTCAGTTCTCGTAAAGTGCAAATTTGTCTTACATGATACTGATAAATTTTCCAATTAAAATTTTGTAATTAGTACAGTTTGAATTTTTCGATCGCTGATCGATTTTTTCGATCGCTGATTTTATATGTTAGATCATTCATTCATAACATAGCATAACATAGTGATGTCGGCGCTCAAGAGTAGGCCTGATGTTGCCTGTCGCCGATTCTTGAACTTTTTGTGACTTATTAACAGAAGATCTAAAATCGTGTCATTTGACCGGATCTTTTCAGGACTGACGATAGTTTGAAATAGCTCCTAGACTTCCACCGGGTTCGATATGGTGCTAGGCATTTCAAGTCTGAACATGCTGTATATTTTTCCATAACTTTATCTAGACTGTTCTTGTACGCGTTCATACTCGGAGCGCCAATGCCAGTTCATAAGCACTATGATCCCATTAATCTTATTCTGTACTAGTAGGCAGATCAAAATTAATTGCTTATTACTCTCTTTTTTAGATCTACATATATATAATGCTAAGTTCTTCTATTAATTGTGCATCTATAATGATAGATATTTAATTGATTGATTTTGAAAATCGATTGAAATTTGATATCAGAGTAAGTGCGTTGTTGGAAGAACTTTAGCTCACACTTTCTGAGCAGAAAATTAATAGATAGCACAGTGGCGTTATTAGGTCTAATTCATGGGGCTACAGCCCCCCCCCCCTCCGATAATATTCCTAAGCCTTACTGGATAATTTTATGTTTACTCCTTGTTACAACACTTCTCTTTAACTTCACTTCTTGTTTGTCTGTCTGTTTGTCTGTCTGTCTGCTACAAATCTTGTAATCAAAATTTAATACACTTCTACTTATCCTATCGATCTGAAATTTTGCCCACTTGTGTAAAGTTTGAGACAATGCATGAATCAAATGTCAAAATAAATGATTTTAGAAATTAAAAAAAAATTTTTTTTTTCAATATTAAAAAAAAATGAAAAAATAATGCTGTCAGTTACAAATCTCATAACTGATATTTGACACACTTTTACCTGCCTAATTGATCTGAAATTTTGCACACTGGTGTAAAGTCGGAGGCAATGCATGAATCAAATGACATAAAAAGAAATTTTAAAAATTTAAATAGTATTTTTTTAATATTTAAATGAAGATAATAATATGCGTTTAAAAATTAATTTTTAAAGACAACACTTCCAAAGAATCCAGTGTCTCCAATCTTACAAATGTACAATGAATTTCTCATTTAATTTTCAAATTAAAAAATTAGTTTTT